GCAGTTGTTAAGCTGGTAGCCTCAGAATTTCCTACTCGTGTTGGTACTTCATGGAGAAATATACGCTGCACATATGACAAATTTTGCTTTTAAAGGGGGGTTTCTTTTCTAAGTACACTGAACTTCATGTGTGCTGTGGGCTTGGCCTTATACTCCTTTTGCACAAAACTATAACTACTGTGGATGTCACTTGCTCTATTAGCCTACAGGATCAGTCCCAATGTGTTTCATTATCATCCCTGCTTATGTATAATATTAATTCTGTCAGTAACGGTAATCAGATATGCCAAATAATTTGTGATTAAGAAGGGATTGGTCTAACACTTATGCATTTGCTCTGATATTGAAAAACATCCATGACTAGAAATGCCTCAGCTAAGTCTTCCTTTACTGAAGACAAAATGGCTGAAGATGTTTGCTTACTGCCAGCTACCTTTATATTTAGATTCATAATGTTCTAGGTGGACTACTCAGATTTAGATGCTGTTGCAACTAAGGAAAGCATGAACACCAATTTACTAACGAAAAAGCTTAGTTTACTAAAGAAAACATCATCATCTTGAGCTGTTTGAGCAGTGGACACTCTTGCTTGTTTTCTGGGTAAAGGTCTTTCACTTTATACCAGTAAAATCATTGGGAAAATGTTTGTTATTCGCATTTAAAGAAAGATGTTAAAAGCTGGCTTATTTGCCTCATCTACTTCTTTATAAACTAATGGCTTAAGGAGTTAAGCATATTAAGATGTAAGGCAATAGAATTTATGTCAATCCTGTGTAGGTCCGTTTTCAATAAATAGAACTCACTTAGACATTTTTCTCTAAATTGCATAAAAATGGAAGCAGAAACAGCTCAGGACTTCCCAATAACATAATTAAAACTGAATTTTGCTATTCCAAAGGTGAGAACCTTGACCTAGAGTGTTTCTAGATCTCAGGGAAGAGCTATGGACAGCTTTTTCTGTGGAGAGCACCTGCTGTTCTTGCTGTTGCTCTGCTGAACTTTAGCCAGTGACAGCAGCAGCAGCAGCAGCAGCCATAAGGGCTTTCCAGAGCTTTAGCGCAGCCAAGGCAATAGCGGTGCTACGGATATTCTGCTGCTGCCTATGTATAGCCTTAGAAAACTATCTAGTTTCTTTATGGAAGGCAGTCCTCTAAAGAAGTTTTCATGCATTGTCCCCAAACTTAGCTTATTTGCTACAAATACGCGTGGCAGTGATGGGTAATGCAGGTGATGCAGCAGCTTTCAGCTATGTGCCATGCCGCCTGACACTAGAAAAGGAGGTATGAAACCTGTCTCTTCTTCAGTGCCTTAATCCTACCTCAACAGCAGCATAAAACATAAAAGTTGTATTTCCCAATCTTCTTTTCACTGCAAAGAAGTCATTCTTACTGATTTGGAGGCTTTAAGCTTTGACATCTTGAATATCTGAGATGGGTATGTTTTGGGTAAAGAGGAAACTACTTTGGTCCAGGTGCTATAAACGTGATTGAAAATGAATGTCTTAGTTCGGTCTATTAAGGCTGGATTTATAACTGGCATCCTTCCTGTAAAACTCAATTTGTTACAATTTTTAATATTGATTTGATACTACAAGTGGATATACTAGCGGTAATTAAGCGTAATGGGGCTTTAATACATCCAGAATATCTTCAAAGGAGGCTAGTGAATATTAATCACATCTCAATCCATTTAACAAATTGCTAAGGGGAATCCACTACATAATTACAGTAATTGGAGAAAGTAAGGGGGAATTTTTGAGCCTACTGTACCGTGAAGAAAGGATAAAAATGTCAAACACCTGTGACCATATCTTTAGCTGACATAAATTACATAATTTCTTTTTTTTTTTTCCCAGCACCACATCTTTGTTAATTGTCTAAATGCATAACAGAATGATGGACTCAATTCTCCCAGGACCTTACATTTTCAATTACTATAATCTTATAGCTGCTTCTTTCTAAGGATTTGTAAAATGGATTTCAATATCAGTAACATTACCTACTTCTCTTTTGAAAGTAGTTTCAAAACAGTTAAGGCTACCTTATGTTTCACGAAAGTGATTATACCTATTTCTGATATTACATTATAATTATATAGTATTACACATTTTGTTCTATACGATGTGTCCATCTTCATACTGTACTTTTGGTTATTTTAATATGCAGATGAATGCTTGTTTACTCTAATTCTGATTTCAGAGCTGTTTTGTCCTCCAAAAAATGAAGATCTGACCTATAAGGTATTAAGTGTTTGACACCATTTGTTTGTATAGGATACTAGTACATGGTTCAACATAAGGCTGACTCCGAAGCTAAAAGAATCTTTAAAATAAAGTTTAGAACTAAGTGTATAAAATACTTTAAAATTTAAACTTTAAAACAAAAATAAAACCACTTTAATTTTTTTCCTTAAAAGACTACCACTTCCACTTTCATATTGTGATATTTCCAGTGGCCACCCTTCATATGGTCATTCAACAAGAGGAGCTAAATGGTGCCACAGATTGTAGGATCCCTAGT